GATATTTATATGTTTGTAGGTTTAGCGAAAATTTTCGAGACTGGGATGGAGAAGAAACATGATAAATTAAATCTTGGAATTAACATAGATAGAAAATCACACTTGTTGATGACTTTGAAGAAAAGTTCGCCGAATTTAATTAAGATGTCAGTTAAAACTAAAACAATAAATAAAAACTATGAGAGACCTTTCAATCATTCTTACCTGCCTCCTCACATTCCTGCCCTGTGTATCCTGCTGCACAAATGCAGCTGGAGCCAAAGCGTTCTGTTTGACATGTTCCTCCGTTCTTACAAGGCGAAGTGTTACTGGAAGCTGATAATCAGTAGACAAAATGTGAGGAAAGCCAGCCCCAAAATAGCATAAAGCATCTACATGCCAACTGTAATATTAAACCCAACTGAAACATAGGTCTCAAATCATATCACAGTTTTATTTTCGTGAGTGAATTAAATGTCTTAGGAAGCTACAAAGAAGTTGATATGGGTTCAAAGTAGTTTGATACAATTTTTGATGAAATGGTTGAAAAGGCGTGTCGTAAGTGGAAAAGTAGATCTCTTCAATAGTAGGGAATAAGTATAAGATATTTAACAGAGTTATCCCCCTTTGCATAGGTGTTACCAGATTTTTACCAGACAATCGGAAGCAGTTCTCCAGTGGAGAAATGGAATTACGGCCCTGAACTAAACAGATACTACTTGATATCCTAATGAATGAATTATAGTTTTTTTTCCAATTGCATTTAATTGTAGTGTAGATTCAATAAATTTCAAATCAAGAGGTAGGATTGTGTGCCTTGCCTTATTCGGAGGAGGGTGCGCAAACAGTGTTTCAAGATGTGGGATTTTTCACTAGTCGGGACTGTGGTCTGGAATGTACATCAATGATTTTCAAAATCCTGTTTTACATTTATAATATTGACAGCGGAACTTGAATAATATTAAACATTCTAAAAGTGTAGTTTAGTTTCATCTATACAGTAAATATTGAAATATTGGTTTAACCTGAAAAGAATGATTTGAAACGGAGTGGATATTTACACATGACCTCATTATAGCACAAACAATCGTATTAATATTAAAACAAAATAAAAGTAGTTTAAACACACAAGACTGCGTGCGCAACTTAATTTATCATATATGTGTATGTATAAGACATATGTTGAACTTCCGTGAGTGAGAATCATCGGATTTTATTTTCAGCTTAGTTAAGTGTTTGTGTTAATTAAACCTCATAATAAAAGCGCGTGCAGCGATTCTGTAAACAGGTTTCCAAAACAGATGACTGCATAGAAACCCATTTTAAAGATACTAAAGCTGTTTAAACGACGACATCTTAACATTTCAACTCCGGACCGCGCCCGATGATAGGAATTTTGTATATATTGTTCTCATCTGTAAATGTGACCTTACTCTCTTGAACTGAACAAGCTTTACATGGCGGGTGTCGTTCATGAAGCAGAAGACGCTTAGTCTTTCGGAACTTCCAGTCTAATTCTCCTTGTATTTTTTACAGGAGTTTCCTTGTATATCTTTCGTTCATTATTATTTTCCCCTTGTTTTATTGAATATGAGTTTAGATATTCGATATAAGGGACATAACTCTAACAAAAATACACCATTCTTACTTCTTATGTGATCTTTGTTCAACAAGCACCAATATTTTATCATAACTGGTGATACGGGTTTACAAATTTAAGATTTCCAGTAGAGTTATTTGGAACTTCAAAGTCCATCACATATACAGTTCTGAATAAATATCATATTAATCGTTCTGACGGTTAAAACAGAGAATAACTTGTATAATGACGGATACAACAGGGTATAATCTGTATGGTGACGGGAACAACAGGTTATAATCTGTATGGTGACGGGTACAACAGGGTATAATCTGTGTGATGACGGGTACAACAGGGGGTAATCTGTATGGTGACGGATACAACAGGGAGTAATATGTATGGTGACGGGTACAACAGGGTATAATCTGTATGTTGACGGGTACAACAGGGTATAATCTGTATGGGACGGGTACAACAGGATATAATCTGTATGGTGACGGATACAACAGGGAGTAATATGTATGGTGACGGGTACAACAGGGTATAATCTGTATGTTGACGGGTACAACAGGGTATAATCTGTATGGGACGGGTACAACAGGGTATAATCTGTATGGTGACGGATACAACAGGGGGTAATCTGTATGGTGACGGATACAACAGGGAGTAATCTGTATGGTGACGGGTACAACAGAGTATAATCTGTATGTTGACGGGTACAACAGGGTATAATCTGTATGGCGACGGGTACAACAGAGTATAATCTGTATGGTGATGGATACAACAGGGGGTAATCTGTATGGTGACGGATACAACAGGGGGTAATCTGTATGTTGACGGGTACAACAGGATATAATCTGTATGTTGACGGGTACAACAGGGTATAATCTGTATGGTGATGGATACAACAGGGTATAATCTGTATGGTGACGGGTACAACTGAGTATAATCTGTATGGTGACGGATACAACAGGGGGTAATCTGTATGGTGACGGGTGCAACAGGGTATAATCTGTATGGTGACGGGTGCAACAGGGTATAATCTGTATGGTGACGGGTACAACAGGGTATAATCTGTATGGTGACGGGTACAACAGGGTATAATCTGTATGGTGACGGGTACAACAGGGTATAATCTGTATGGTGACGGATACAACAGGGTGTAATCTGTATGGTGACGGGTACACCAGATTTTGTTTACACCAGATAACATTCTCCTAACTTTACATGTCAGCTGGGTGTTTGTTTACATCAGATAACATTCTCCTAACTTTACATGTCAGCTGGGTGTTTGGTTACACCAGATAACATTCTCCTAACTTTACATGTCAGCTGGGTGTTTGTTTACACCAGATAACATTCTCCTAACTTTACATGTCAGCTGGGTGTTTGTTTACACCACATAACATTCTCCTAACTTTACATGTCAGCTGGGTGTTTGTTTACACCAGATAACATTCTCCTAACTTTACATGTCAGCTGGGTGTTTGTTTACACCACATAACATTCTCCTAACTTTACATGTCAGCTGGGTGTTTGTTTACACCAGATAACATTCTCCTAACTTTACATGTCAGCTGGGTGTTTGTTTTACATCAGATAACATTCTCCTACCTTTACATGTCAGCTGGGTGTTTGTTTACACCAGATAACATTCTCCTAACTTTACATGTCAGCTGGGTGTTTGTTTACACCAGATAACATTCTCCTAACTTTACATGTCAGCTGGGTGTTTGTTTACACCAGATAACATTCTCCTAACTTTACATGTCAGCTGGGTGTTTGCTTACACCAGATAACATTCTCCTAACTTTACATTTCGTATTCCATACTGATTTACACATAGAGTCGCAGGAGTGCCAATGTCATGTGTCACGACACACCAGTATGACACTTGCCTGTGTAATTCATTTCTAAAAATTAGTCGTTATGTTGTAATATGCAGAGATCAGTAAGTACGGATACATATACGATAAGGCATAATGGTGATTGCACAAAATGTACAAGGGAAAAACACCTTTCAACAGAAATTTAGAAAATGATAGAGCCAGATAAAAAAATTAAACTACAACGTACAGCTGTTTCGTCCTTATAGGACTCGTCAGTGATACTACATCATACAGCTGTTTCGTCCTTATAGGACTCGTCAGTGATACTACATCATACAGCTGTTTCGTCCTTATAGGACTCGTCAGTGATACTACATCATACAGCTGTTTCGTCTTTATAGGACTCGTCAGTGATGTTATATGATACAGCTGTTTCGTCTTTATAGGACTCGTCAGTGATGTTATATGATACAGCTGTTTCGTCCTTATAGGATGTTGACGAGTTGTTAGCTGGGAGTAAACACAGACGAACATGCTGCTGCCATGCTGTTTATTAGAATGAAAAACGAGGCTACCTCGGTTACATAATCTTGCAGATTGAATACAGATTATTTAGGCGAAACGTAATAGTGTATCAACATAGGACTCGTCAATGATGTTATATGATACAGCTGTTTCGTCCTTATAGGACTCCTCAGTGATGCTACATCATACAGTTGTTCCGTTGTGACGCTAAAAGCCTATATTTCAAAACTTAGGAGGTGACTGAAGAAATTTAGTTAATTTTTGATAATTTCAAAAGAACGTCAAGTATGTTTGTAAGTCTGAATAGTGCACTATTCGAACGACAAACATTATTGTTAGAGACAGACATTGTACATAATTGACACATAACGTAATATTATTCACTACCTGAAGCTTCATGGTTATTACAGATACCTAATCCATATTTTGTTTCCACTATATAAGTAATACGATATGTTATGTTCACCGTAGATGAAGCGGAAGACGCTTTCCCTTCCAGACATCCTGTCTTTTCTCCATGCATGGTATGATTGGTCTTTACATCTTTCTGCTGGAAACAATTCTTCTACTTATTTTATTTACATGCCGGTATTTTGTTTCATCGATCGACGGGGCTCTGACCGCCTTTATCGTTTGAATTCATTTCTTTTAGAAATACCATCAAAACAGCCAGACAGTATATGTCTTTCTATATATCACAAAAGAAAATTAATAGACACACGATATTTAAGAGTCTATCGACTAAATTTGTTTTTATTTTGTATGACAAACATTAATCTAGTTACTAAATTAAGAGGTATATACAGTATGGAAAAAGAATTGTACTAAAACAAAATGAAAATAAATATTGTAACCAACTACAAAATTAATAAGGAAACATATCTTCTTTAAAGTGTTTGCTAAACACAAGATCCCCATCACACTTAAAAAAAAATCCACAAAAAAACAAAAGAACGTGTCATCCAACACTGTATCAGTGTGTTGTTTGGCCTTAATATCTATGTATATGGTTTCATACTCAGAAAAGAAAAATGTACGAACTTGATATAAGAATGATTTTTAAAAAACCCGCTAATTTACGAATAACGTCAAATGTTGCCGATCTCGAAATTAGCTTTTTCTGTCTTGCTGCAGAGCGTTTTTAGAACTTGTCCATGTTGTCGGATCCACTTGTTGGCGACTGTCGAGAAGAAGGGAAAACACACATTAATGTTATCAAAGAATCACACAATGTACAACATTTCACTGTGGCATGTAGGAAATACTTTAAACATAGAGTTTCATTAAATCCAACAGTTTACCAAAGCCAAACGAGCAGCCTATTTACTGTTTGAAAAACAACATAAAATTAACTTTCCTGTTAATTTATTAGGGAGGTATCAATTTTCGAGAATTTATTACATTTTCTAAAATGAAAGCTAGAACCCCCTCCAAAATACCTCAAATCATCGTATTGTTCAAAATGATTTATGTATATCAGGGCCAGTAAATGTTTTCCCACATGTCTGTATTATGATAAATCCATGTAGTTCATTTATGACTGTGATAGTATCGTCACATGAAGTCTGTCTTACTTGTTATACCAACTATTCATTCCACCCCGTAAAACTTGCAACAATAGTTAGAATACATGAATGTTTTTGTACCAACACAAAGCTATAATAATTTCACTTGTCAATTTCAACAATCTGTCTTCCTTTTAAGTATATAGAAACATTATTATACTGAACAATACTGTAGAGTTGTCCTTTTCCTTTGATGATGATTATTCTTTAACAGAAAAAAAAAAATTTAAAAAAAAGTTACTTACTCTATCGATCCTATTTTTTCCCGATTTTATTCAGTCCCCGAAAAAATTCGAAAAGCAGGACCAAGGGCAAAAATATTTACAGTATGTTTTGTTTATTGTAAATACAAATCTACAATTATTCAGAAAAATATTTCAGAAATAAAAGTAAATTTGAGGTAAATACATCAAAAATTTATAACACAAACAAGCTCATCAACACAAAACTAGATAGGTAATCCCTTGTTCAACCATTTCAATAATTTATGATAAGATAAATCGAGGTCATTGTCTTTTAACATGCCATAATACTGAGGTGATTATAAATAGCACAAAAACAGCAGTTCAAAGGTTATGCAAAAAATAAGCGTTCTTTACCACACCAATCACGAAGAGGATTTCAAACCGTCAAAACAAATAATTTTCTGTAATGACTTAAGAACATGTGTAATTGTTGACTATGCAAACAGTAATTTGATAGTACAATGTCTATTAGGAAACCTACAGGTCATTTACAGGTAAATACCTTACCCCATTTGGATCCTAAAAGTACCGGGCAGCCTGCATGCATCATTTTCCTATTTGCAGATCCGTTTGGCAGAGTGTTATACCAAAATACGGCAGATCCCTAGTGACATATTATATATACAACATATCAATAAAATACAGTCATGATAAGATATGTATTTAAGTTACCTTAAACGAAATGTCAAGTCAAATATTGCAATCGCCTTTTGTCCATCAAAACAATTGAAATTGAAACCCCAAAGCCAACATTGATTTTCGGAAATCTTCCACGAGAGAAGTTCAACGAAAATTACAAATGAAGCTGTGTCAAGAAGGACACCAAGAGTGAAAGATCAAGGGAGGTAAGAAGGGGAACCACAGTAAAGAAAGGTATATATAAATAGGTGTTGTGTTGGGAACAGACGATATATTGTGGCCTCTAGGTAAATTTAGTAGAAGTAAGATGTTAGACAGCAAAAAACCATACCAACTCGCCTCACATAAACCCGAAAGGCCGTCCTTAAATCACCCTAGCTGTTGATAGGTAAACAATACAAAACCAGGCCAAATCACCTCGCATATACCGGGAGGCCGTCCTTATATACCCCTAACTGTTGATTGGACTATAAACAATACAAAATAGACCAAATCACCTCACACAAGGAGGCCGTCCTTATATACCCCTAACTGTTGATTGGACTATAAACAATACAAAAACAGACCAAATCACCTCACACAAGGAGGCCGTCCTTATATACCCCTAACTGTTGATAGGTAAACAATACAAAACCAGGCCAAATCACCTCACACAAGGAGGCCGTCCTTATATACCCCTAACTGTTGATTGGACTATAAACAATACAAAAACAGACCAAATCACCTCACACAAGGAGGCCGTCCTTATATACCCCTAACTGTTGATTGGACTATAAACAATACAAAAACAGACCAAATCACCTCACACAAGGAGGCCGTCCTTATATACCCCTAACTATTGATAGGTAAACAATACAAAACCAGGTCCAATCACCTCACACACACAAGGAGGCCGTCCTTATATACCCCTAACTGTTGATAGGTAAACAATACAAAACCAGGCCCAATCACCTCACACACACAAGGAGGCCGTCCTTATATACCCCTAACTGTTGATGGGTAAACAATACAAAACCAGGCCCAATCACCTCACACAAACAAGGAGGCCTCCTTATATACCCCTAACTGTTGATGGGTAAACAATACAAACCAGATCAAATCACCTCACGCACACAAGGAGGCCGTCCTTATATACCCCTAACTGTTGATAGGTAAACAATACAAAACCAGGCCCAATCACCTCACACACACAAGGAGGCCGTCCTTATATACCCCTAACTGTTGATGGGTAAACAATACAAAACCAGGCCCAATCACCTCACACACACAAGGAGGCCGTCCTTATATACCCCTAGCTGTTGATAGGTAAACAATACAAAACCAGGCCCAATCACCTCACACACACAAGGAGGCCGTCCTTATATACCCCTAACTGTTGATAGGTAAACAATACAAAACCAGGCCCAATCACCTCACACACTCAAGGAGGCCGTCCTTATATACCTCTAACTGTTGATGGGTAAACAATACAAAACCAGGCCCAATCACCTCACACAAACAAGGAGGCCGTCCTTATATACCTCTAACTGTTGATGGGTAAACAATACAAACCAGATCAAATCACCTCACGCACACAAGGCCGCCGTCCTTATATACCCCTAACTGTTGATAGGTAAACAATACAAAACCAGGCCCAATCACCTCACACACACAAGGAGGCCGCCGTCCTTATATACCCCTAACTGTTGATGGGTAAACAATACAAAACCAGACCCAATCACCTCACACAAACAAGGAGGCCTCCTTATATACCCCTAACTGTTGATGGGTAAACAATGCAAACCAGATCAAATCACCTCACACACACAAGGAGGCCGTCCTTATATACCCCTAACTGTTGATAGGTAAACAATACAAAACCAGGCCCAATCACCTCACATACACAAGGAGGCCGTCCTTATATACCCCTAACTGTTGATTGGTAAACAATACAAACCAGATCAAATCACCTCACACACACAAGGAGGCCGTCATTATATACCCCTAACTGTTGATAGGTAAACAATACAAAACCAGGCCCAATCACCTCACACACACAAGGAGGCCGTCCTTATATACCCCTAACTGTTGATGGGTAAACAATACAAACCAGATCAAATCACCTCACACACACAAGGAGGCCGTCATTATATACCCCTAACTGTTGATAGGTAAACAATACAAAACCAGGCCCAATCACCTCACACACACAAGGAGGCCGCCGTCCTTATATACCCCTAACTGTTGATGGGTAAACAATACAAAACCAGACCCAATCACCTCACACAAACAAGGAGGCCTCCTTATATACCCCTAACTGTTATGGGTAAACAATGCAAACCAGATCAAATCACCTCACACACACAAGGAGGCCGTCCTTATATACCCCTAACTGTTGATAGGTAAACAATACAAAACCAAGCCCAATCACCTCACACACACAAGGAGGCCGTCCTTATATACCCCTAGCTGTTGATAGGTAAACAATACAAAACCAGGCCCAATCACCTCACACAAACATGGAGGCCTCCTTATATACCCCTAACTGTTGATTGGTAAACAATACAAACCAGATCAAATCACCTCACACACACACAAGGAGGCCGTCCTTATATACCCCTAACTGTTGATAGGTAAACGAAACAAACCAGGCCCAATCACCTCACATACACCGGGAGGCCGTCCTCATATGGCATTACTGTTGATATGATTTAAACAATATATAACCAGGCAAAATAAATAAATTATTCCTCGGAATGGCAATGATCATCTTTAGTAATATGATTTGTGTTATATAGAATCTTCATGTGAATATCTTTGTGCAAACTTATGATAAATTTTGTCTCCCATTAACAGTACCCTGATAAAAGCAAAGCCATTTCAGGTAAAGCTATTGTATGAAGTGCTGTTATACATAGATTTTTTGGACGTAGAAGTGTCCTTTGGAGATAAATCGATCTATAAATGAGACATGGAAAATATCAAACATTACCTCAGTTACTGGGACACGTGCCTTTAACAGCGGAAACACGGTGGCGCCACCTGCTGTCACAGAACTTAACTGCAGAGAAATTGACATCATAAAGCAACGACTTTTCAAAGAACGCCCCGCAATCTTATTTCGTTTTATCATTTTCACTCCTTTTCTACTGACGTAAGGCAAAATATCGTTTTTCAAAGTATTAATTCGCATTTCATTAAACTATATCTGTACTAAATATTGTAGATAAAAACAATATTTTGTGTGATTAATATTAAACAATTCATGTAGATAGAAGCTCCCTCATTCAAAGCAATAACAGCTGGTTTATCAAAGTATTTAGATTAATGTTTTAATCTTGATCTTCAACTCTGGAATATTTAACTTAATCCTAACATTTTCAGGCCAGAGATAAGCTGGTTCGGTGTAGAAGAATTCAAAGCCTGATATAAAGAATGAAATGTTTTAATTTTATCTTGTAATATCTTTATATGGTAAAACAGATCTCTGAATATATTCTGAGCGTAATGATGATTCAATATGAAAATTAAACTGTTTCTTGAATGATTGGTGTGGTGACCTAGTGTGAATGATTGGTGTGGTGACCTAGTGTGAATGATTGATGTGGTGACCTAGTGTGAATGATTGGTGTGGTGACCCAGTGTGAGTGATTGGTGTAGTGACCCAGTGTGAATGATTGGTGTAGTGACCCAGTGTGAATGATTGGTGTAGTGACCCAGTGTGAATGATTGGTGTAGTGACCCAGTGTGAATGATTGGTGTAGTGACACAGTGTGAATAATTGGTGTGGTGACCCAGTGTGAATGATTGGTGTAGTGACCCAGTGTGAATGATTGGTGTAGTGACCCAGTGTGAATGATTGGTGTAGTGACCCAGTGTGAATGATTGGTGTAGTGACCCAGTGTGAATGATTGGTGTAGTGACCCAGTGTGAATGATTGGTGTAGTGACCCAGTGTGAATGATTGGTGTAGTGACCCAGTGTGAATGATTGGTGTAGTGACCCAGTGTGAGTGATTGGTGTGGTGACCCAGTGTGAATGATTGGTGTAGTGACCCAGTGTGAGTGATTGGTGTAGTGACCCAGTGTGAGTGATTGGTGTAGTGACCCAGTGTGAATGATTGGTGTAGTGACCCAGTGTGAATGATTGGTGTAGTGACCCAGTGTGAATGATTGGTGTAGTGACCCAGTGTGAATGATTGGTGTAGTGACCCAGTGTGAATGATTGGTGTTGTGACCCAGTGTTAGTGATTGGTGTGGTGACCCAGTGTGAATGATTGGTGTAGTGACCCAGTGTGAATGATTGGTGTAGTGACCCAGTGTGAATGATTGGTGTAGTGATACAGTGTGAATGATTGGTGTAGTGACCTAGTGTGAATGATTGGTGTAGTGACCCAGTGTGAGTGATTGGTGTAGTGACCCAGTGTGAATGATTGGTGTAGTGACCCAGTGTGAATGATTGGTGTAGTGACCCAGTGTGAATGATTGGTGTTGTGACCCAGTGTGAATGATTGGTGTAGTGACCCAGTGTGAGTGATTGGTGTAGTGACCCAGTGTGAATGATTGAGTGTGGTGACCCAGTGTGAATGATTGGTGGAGTGACCCAGTGTGAATGATCGGTGTTGTGACCCAGTGTGATTGATTGGTGTGACCCATTGGTGTGTGAATGATTGGTGTGGTGACCCAGTGTGAATGATTGGTGTAGTGACCCAGTGTGAATGATTGGTGTAGTGACCCAGTGTGAATGATTGGTGTAGTGACCCAGTGTGAATGATTGGTGTAGTGACCCAGTGTGAGTGATTGGTGTAGTGACCCAGTGTGAATGATTGGTGTAGTGACCCAGTGTGAATGATTGGTGTAGTGACCCAGTGTGAATGATTGGTGTAGTGACCCAGTGTGAATGATTGGTGTAGTGACCCAGTGTGAATGATTGGTGTAGTGACCCAGTGTGAATGATTGGTGTAGTGACCCAGTGTGAATGATTGGTGTAGTGACCCAGTGTGAATGATTGGTGTAGTGACCCAGTGTGACCCATGATTGGTGTAGTGACCCAGTGTGAATGATTGGTGTAGTGACCCAGTGTGAATGATTAGTGTAGTGACCCAGTGTGAATGATTGGTGTACTGACCCAGTGTGAATGATTGGTGTAGTGACCCAGTGTGAATGATTGGTGTAGTGACCCAGTGTGAATGATTGGTGTAGTGACCCAGTGTGAATGATTGGTGTAGTGACCCAGTGTGAATGATTGGTGTAGTGACCCAGTGTGAATGATTGGTGTAGTGACCCAGTGTGAATGATTGGTGTAGTGACCCAGTGTGAATGATTGGTGTAGTGACCCAGTGTGAATGATTGGTGTAGTGACCCAGTGTGAATGATTGGTGTAGTGACCCAGTGTGAATGATTGGTGTAGTGATACAGTGTGAATGATTGGTGTAGTGACCCAGTGTGAATGATTGGTGTAGTGACCCAGTGTGAATGATTGGTGTAGTGACCCAGTGTGAATGATTGGTGTAGTGACCCAGTGTGAATGATTGGTGTAGTGACCCAGTGTGAGTGATTGGTATAGTGACCCAGTGTGAATGATTGGTGTAGTGACCCAGTGTGAATGATTGGTGTAGTGACCCAGTGTGAATGATTGGTGTAGTGACCCAGTGTGAATGATTGGTGTAGTGACCCAGTGTGAATGATTGGTGTAGTGACCCAGTGTGAATGATTGGTGTAGTGATCCAGTGTGAATGATTGGTGTAGTGACCCAGTGTGAATGATTGGTGTAGTGACCCAGTGTGAATGATTGGTGTAGTGACCCAGTGTGAATGATTGGTGTTGTGACCCAGTGTTAGTGATTGGTGTGGTGACCCAGTGTGAGTGATTGGTGTAGTGACCCAGTGTGAATGATTGATGTAGTGATACAGTGTGAATGATTGGTGTAGTGACCCAGTGTGAATGATTGGTGTAGTGACCCAGTGTGAATGATTGGTGTAGTGACCCAGTGTGATGACTAAATAGGCAAACATCTAGTAAAGTCACTTTTTTTGGCGGCTTAAATCTTCGTGGTTTTACCGAACGTATGCAGAAAGACGGACATGTTTTTCACTGAAATTTTAAATGGATGGGAAATTTAATTACACTGTTCCATTATTTTCTCGAAAACAACCACTGAACAGTTTAGGAAATGACATCTACCACAAATTTTCCATTTGATATAGTTTATCTTAAAGTAATATGCATGATATATATACTCACATAAAACATCCACGTGGCTATTCTGTCACCAGAATCGGTGACTTCCGCTACCTCAGGAATTCCATTGCTAACCCACAAAGGTTTACCCTATAAAGATGTCGTGATAATTCTGATTTAAGAATGCTATTTTTTCATTTTTTAAAATTTATATAAAAGTAGAAACCAACGAAGTAAGTATAATCAGGTAACATGCTATGCAGCTAGAAGTATTTCAGGAAACGTTTTAATAAACCGACGGCCGTTCTCAACGTAAACAAATGTTATTCTGGTAGAAAACCTTGACTATGTACATTAGATCTAGCATCTCTGTATTATGTAAACTTCTTCACAGAAGTGATGAGAAGAGGAGAGGAACAGTCACAAATATAATGGAATGGTACACATCTTATGTTCATTGAAACATCTGAGTATGAAGGACATTTATCATAAAAACATCTGAGTATGAAAGAGATTTATCATAAAACATCTGAGTATGAAGGAGATTTATCATAAAACATTTGAGTATGAAGGAGATTTATCATAAAACATCTGAGTATGAAGGAGATTTATCATAAAACATCTGAGTATGAAGGACATTTATCATAAAACATCTGAGTATGAAGGAGATTTATCATAAAACATCCGAGTATGAAGGAGATTTATCATAAAACATCTGAGTATGAAGGAGATTTATCATAAAACATCTGAGTATGAAGGAGATTTATCATAAAACATCTGAGTATGAAAGAGATTTACATCCGAGTATGAAGGAGATTTATCATAAAACATCTGAGTATGAAGGAGATTTATCATAAAACATCCGAGTATGAATGAGATTTATCATAAAACATCTGAGTATGAAGGAGATTTATCATAAAACATCTGAGTATGAAGGATATCCTTTCAGTGACATGTATACATTAACTACATTAACAGATGGTTTAAAATGAAACATTTTTGCAATTTTTATTTAATACAATGCGTTTATCTACAGATGAATATTTGAAATGTATTGATGAAACAGATCATGATGCTGAATTAATTAAATAATTGATTAACTAGTTTGTTATGTTATACTGAGGGGATTTATGTGTATATTTTAATGATACAAGGGTGAAACAGATAAACTTTCGAGAAAGAAAAAGTGAAATAGGATAATATTCGAAACACTTACTAAGTGATCGTTATGAGGACCGTATTCCCCGCTCACTCCATAATTAATCACCTAAAAGGGCAAATTACATTGTAAAAGTTTCACTATAAAAATAAACAGTCCTAATTAGACTGGGTGCGCTATCTTGGGTGATGTGAGATCATTATTGCCAAAAATTGTTAATTAATGTCACATGTATTAAATTATTCAAGCATATTGATGAAGCCGACCGATTTTCTAATTACTATCAGTTTTCAGATATTGGATGCAGCACAGATGTAAATAAATTAAAAACAACAACGAGATACCGACATGTCAACAAAATCTTGATTCAAATTCCAAACCGATGGGGCGATGACAAACTATGACAAAAAATACATGGAGACCCCATGGAAAAGTCAAAAGAAAATCAGACCAGGTGTTCCGAAAGGGCAAGTAGTTTATAGCAATCCGTAGCATTTTGTTACTAACTTGGTATCGTTCCACGCTGCTAAGATAATCGCGGAAGGTTGTGTCAAGCCCTGTGACGATGGCTATACGCCTGTTAAGACGAAGCAACGTTGGGTGGTCAGTATCTTTCAGCCAAGCTCTGAAGAAGCACAGGTTAAGTAAGTATTATTTCAATCGCCTCATATCAGATGTAAGATAAATAGAAGGTTGTGATTGTAGGATTTAAAAAAATAGAATAAAACTGCTACAAATACCTTCAAAATGATTTCTAAATAGGGACCAAAGTAAGTTTGATGATTTCCGCGGGAAAAAAATCCTTTATATTTGTCCAAACGTTTTGTTGAGTTACCGAGTAATACAGAATACTCTGAACATTTGATAAAGGAATGGCAACAATATTATAAGTTACAAATACAAAGATTGTACAAAAGACACAAGTTAATACTAATAAAGATTGTACAAAAGACACACAAGTTAATACTAATAAAGATTAATACAAAAGACACAAGTTAATACTAATAAAGATTGTACAAAAGACACACAAGTTAATACTAATAAAGATTGTACAAAAGACACAAGTTATACTAATAAAGATTGTACAAAAGACACAAGTTAATACTAATAAAGATTACAAAAGACACACAAGTTAATACTAAAAAGACACAAGTTAATACACAAGTTAATACTAAAGATTGTACAAAAGACACAAGTTAATACTAATAAAGATTGTACAAAAGACACAAGTTAATACTAATAAAGATTGTACAAAAACACAAGTTAAGACATAAAGTTAATACTAATAAAGATTGTACAAAAGACACAAGTTAATACTAATAAAGACAAAAGACACACAAGTTAATACTAATAAAGATTGTAGTTAATACTAATAAAGACAAAAGACACAAGTTAATACAAAAGACACAATAAAAGATACAAAAGACACACAAGTTAATACTAATAAAGATTGTACAAAAAACACAAGTTAATACTAATAAAGATTGTACAAAAGACACAAGTTAATACTAATAAAGATTGTACAAAAGACACACAAGTTAATACTAATAAAGATTGTACAAAAGACACACAAGTTAATACTAATAAAGATTGTACAAAAGACACACAAGTTAATACTAATAAAGATTTTACAAAAGACACAAGTTAATACTAATAAAGATTGTACAAAAGACACAAGTTAATACTAATAAAGATTGTACAAAAGACACACAAGTTAATACTAATAAAGATTGTACAAAAGACACAAGTTAATACTAATAAAGATTGTACAAAAGACACAAGATAATACTAATAAAGATTGTACAAAAGACACAAGTTAATACTAATAAAGATTGTACAAAAGACACAAGTTAATACTAATAAAGATTAATACAAAAGACACACAAGTTAATACTAATAAAGATTGTACAAAAGACACACAAGTTAATACTAATAAAGATTGTACAAAAGACACAAGTTAATACTAATAAAGATTGTACAAAAGACACAAGTTAATACTAATAAAGATTGTACAAAAGACACACAAGTTAATACTAATAAAGATTGTACAAAAGACACACAAGTTAATTAATAAAGATTGTACAAAAGACACAAGTTAATACTAATAAAGATTGTACAAAAGACACACAAGTTAATACTAATAAAGATTGTACAAAAGACACAAGTTAATACTAATAAAGATTGTACAAAAGACACACAAGTTAATACTAATAAAGATTGTACAAAAGACACAAGTTAATACTAATAAAGATTGTACAAAAGACACACAAGTTAATACTAATAAAGATTGTACAAAAGACACACAAGTTAATACTAATAAAGATTGTACAAAAGACACAAGTTAATACTAATAAAGATGTACAAAAGACACACAAGTTAATACAAAAGTACACACAAGTTAATACTAATAAAGATTGTACAAAAGACACAAGTTAATACTAATAAAGATTGTACAAAAGACACACAATTAATACTAATAAAGATTGTACAAAAGACACAAGTTAATACTAATAAAGATTGTACAAAAGACACAAGTTAATACTAATAAAGATTGTACAAAAGACACAAGTTAATACTAATAATACAAAAGATTGTACAAAAGACACAAGTTAATACTAATAAAGATTGTACAAAAGACACAAGTTAATACTAATAAAGATTGTACAAAAGACAAAAGACACAAGTTAATACTAATAAAGATTGTACAAAAGACACAAGTTAATACTAATAAAGATTGTACAAAAGACACACAAGTTAATACTAATAAAGATTGTACAAAAGACACAAGTTAATACTAATAAAGATACAAAAGACACAAGTACTAATAAAGAGTACAAAAGACACAAGTTAATACTAATAAAGATTGTACAAAAGACACACAAGTTAATACTAATAAAGATTGTACAAAAGACACACAAGTTAATACTAATAAAGATTGTACAAAAGACACACAAGTTAATACTAATAAAGATTGTACAAAAGACACAAGTTAATACTAATAAAGATTTTACAAAAGTCACACAAGTTAATACTAATAAAGATTGTACAAAAGACACACAAGTTAATACTAATAAAGATTGTACAAAAGACACACAAGTTAATACTAATAAAGATTGTACAAAAGACACACAAGTTAATACTAATAAAGATTGTACAAAAGACACACAAGTTAATACTAATAAAGATTGTACAAAAGACACAAGTTAATACTAATAAAGATTGTACAAAAGACACACAAGTTAATACTAATAAAGATTGTACAAAAGACACACAAGTTAATACTAATAAAGATTGTACAAAAGACACACAAGTTAATACTAATAAAGATTGTACAAAAGACACAAGTTAATACTAATAAAGATTGTACAAAAGACACACAAGTTAATACTAATAAAGATTGTACAAAAGACACACAAGTTAATACTAATAAAGATTGTACAAAAGACACAAGTTAATACTAATAAAGATTGTACAAAAGACACAAGTTAATACCTTTAATACAAAGATTGTACAAAAGACACACAAGTTAATACTAATAAAGATTGTACAAAAGACACACAAGTTACAAAAGACACAAGTTAATACTAATAAAGATTGTACAAAGTTAAATACTAAAAGATAAAGATTGTACAAAAGACACAAGTTAATACTAATACAAGATGTACAAAAGACACAAGTTAATACTAATAAAGATTGTACAAAAGACACACAAGTTAATACTAATAAAGATTGTACAAAAGACACAAGTTAATACTAATAAAGATTGTACAAAAGACACACAAGTTAATACTAATAAAGATTGTACAAAAGACACAAGTTAATACTAATAAAGATTGTACAAAAGACACAAGTTAATACTAATAAAGAGTACAAAAGACACAAGTTAATACTAATAAAGATTGTACAAAAGACACAAGTTAATACTAATAAAGATTGTACAAAAGACACAAGTTAATACTAATAAAGATTGTACAAAAGACACAAGTTAATACTAATAAAGATTGTACAAAAGACACAATTTAATACTAATAAAGATTGTACAAAAGACACAAGTTAATACTAATAAAGATTGTACAAAAGACACACAAGTTAATACTAATAAAGATTGTACAAAAGACTAATAAAGATTGTACAAAAGACACAAGTTAATACTAATAAAGATTGTACAAAAGACACAAGTTAATACTAATAAAGAGTACAAAAGACACAAGTTAATACTAATAAAGATTGTACAAAAGACACAAGTTAATACTAATAAAGATTGTACAAAAGACACACAAGTTAATACTAATAAAGATTGTACAAAAGACACAAGTTAATACTAATAAAGATTGTACAAAAGACACAAGTTAATACTAATAAAGATTGTACAAAAGACACACAAGTTAATACTAATAAAGATAGTACAAAAGACACACAAGTTAATACTAATAAAGATAGTACAAAAGACACACAAGTTAATACTAATAAAGATTGTACAAAAGACACACAAGTTAATACTAATAAAGATTGTACAAAAGACACAAGTTAATACTAATAAAGATTGTACAAAAGACACAAGTTAATACTAATAAAGATTGTACAAAAGACACACAAGTTAATACTAATAAAGATTGTACAAAAGACACAAGTTAATACTAATAAAGATTGTACAAAAGACACAAGTTAATACTAATAAAGATTGTACAAAAGACACACAAGTTAATACTAATAAAGATTGTACAAAAGACACAAGTTAATAGTAATAAAGATTGTACAAAAGACACACAAGTTAATACTAATAAAGATTGTACTAAAGACACAAGTTAATACTAATAAAGATTGTACAAAAGACACACACAAGTTAATACTAATAAAGATTGTACAAAAGACACAAGTTAATACTAATAAAGAGACAAAAGACACAAGTTAATACTAATACAAGTTAATATGTAATAAAGATTGTACAAAAGACACACAAGTTAATACACAAGTTAATACTAATAAAGATTGTACAAAAGACACACAAGTTAATACTAATAAAGATTGTACAAAAGACACACAAGTTAATACTAATAAAGATTGTACAAAAGACACACAAGTTAATACTAATAAAGATTGTACAAAAGACACACAAGTTAATACTAATAAAGATTGTACAAAAGACACACAAGTTAATACTAATAAAGATTGTACAAAAGTCACACAAGTTAATACTAATAAAGATTGTACAAAAGACACACAAGTTAATACTAATAAAGATTGTACAAAAGACACACAAGTTAATACTAATAAAGATTGTACAAAAGACACAAGTTAATACTAATAAAGATAAAGACACACAAGTTAATACTAATAAAGATTGTACAAAAGACACAAGTTAATACTAATAAAGATTGTACAAAAGACACAAGTTAATACTAATAAAGATAGTACAAAAGACACACAAGTTAATACTAATAGATACAAAAGACACAAGATAATGTACAAAAGACACACAAGTTAATACTAATAAAGATTGTACAAAAGACACAAGTTAATACTAATAAAGATTGTACAAAAGACACAAGTTAATACTAATAAAGATTGTACAAAAGACACAAGTTAATACTAATAAAGATTGTACAAAAGACACAAGTTAATACTAATAAAGATTGTACAAAAGACACAAGTTAATACTAATAAAGATTACAAAAGACACACAAGTTAATACTAATAAAGAGACACACAAGTTAATACTAATAAAGATTGTACAAAAGACACACAAGTTAATACTAATAAAGATTGTACAAAAGACACAAGTTAATACTAATAAAGATTGTACAAAAGACACACAAGTTAATACTAATAAAGATTGTACAAAAGACACAACAAGTACACAAGTTAATACTAATAAAGATTGTACAAAAGACACACAAGTTAATAAGATTGTACAAAAGACACACAAGTTAATACTAAAAAGACACACAAGTTAATACTAATAAAGATTGTACAAAAGACACAAGTTAATACTAATAAAGATTGTACAAAAGACACAAATTAATAGTAATAAAGATTGTACAAAAGACACACAAGTTAATACTAATAAAGATTGTACAAAAGAGTTAATACTAATAAAGAGACAAAAGACACAAGTTAATACTAATAAAGATTGTACAAAAGACACAAGTTAATACTAATAAAGATTGTACAAAAGACACAAGTTAATACTAATAAAGATACAAAAGACACAAGTTAATACTGATAAAGATTGTACAAAAGACACACAAGTTAATACTAATAAAGATTGTACAAAAGACACAAGTTAATATTAATAAAGATTGTACAAAAGACACACAAGTTAATACTAATAAAGATAGTACAAAAGACACACAAGTTAATACTAATAAAGATTGTACAAAAGACACACAAGTTAATACTAATAAAGATAGTACAAAAGACACAAGTTAATACTGATAAAGATAGTACAAAAGACACAAGTTAATACTAATAAAGATTGTACAAAAGACACACAAGTTAATACTAATAAAGATTGTACAAAAGACACAAGTTAATACTAATAAAGATTGTACAAAAGACACAAGTTAATAGTACCTTTAATAAAGATTGTACAAAAGACACACAAGTTAATAGCACCTTTTGATACAAAGATTGTACAAAAGACACACAAGTTAATAGCACCTTTTGATAATTAGATAAATTTCGCAATTTTCATACATCCGATGATTATAGAATAGCGTCAAGTACTTGATGTATTTTCTGAACCGTGTCACTATTCGAGTGAATTGGAACGTGGCAAGTAGGTCACGGCAAACCTCGGGGACTTAAAGTCCACCAGCAGTGTCTACCACTTATAAAAAGCATTATAATGCACCAGCATACTTACGTCTGACTGACTCGTGTGTTGGCCATGACGTGCAGTCCACGTCCAGAATAAATTTTTGAAAATGTGAACTGAAAACAAATTAACTACGTTTAAACCGATAATCATCAATACGATGTTTGTTTTAAAATTATAAATGACTAAAATGAATGATTTTATTTATTATTTTGAAAATGACTGATAAGTAATTCACTGATTTCAGGAAGATAATTGTAATCGGTTAAAAAGAAACAAATGAAATAGAATATAAAACTTACGGACTTTTCTCCGGCTGTACGTAAAAATTCAATCTCACTTTTAGAAATGATATTGTGGTAGATGACAATGATAGGTTTTAAGTGAACAATTTCTGCTTGAATCATGTCAAATAAAATCCGTGTTTTCTTCAAGAAACACTTTAATTTGGCTTGCATTTTCGTGGACTGAAATAAATGAACATAACAAATTAAACACCATATGTCTTCAATACTATTTCAGCAATATTTCCCCATATAAATTATGCATATCTATGCTCTGCTGCAGAAGTAGATTTAAGCATTGAGTGATCTGTAGATTGTATCTATTGTCCATACAGATGTTGAAGATTCCAACACTAACATAAGGGGGATATCATGAACGCTTACAATATTATCAACAATTTTTCATGATAGCAAAGTCACCACTGGGATATTTGACACTCATATAGGACCTAGAACGAGAGGCAACTCACAAAACCCACTGAAAAAAAAATACTGCAGGTTGGATATCCGCAAATACTCGATTGCATCCGGCATTGTCGGTGTGTGGAACAACTTAATGGACTCGGTTGTATATATATATATATATATATATATATATTATAATGTATGTATATATAATATTATAATAAACCATTATGATAATTATGATATAGATAACTACACTTCCGGTATTAATTTTAAATAATTTCATTTGCCCGTCACCATCCATGATCACAACACTAGACAGTCATTACAATAACGAAACTAAAATTAGAACTGGTTCCGTTGTATTGTGACGTCATAATACTTTTGCCGGTCATTCCATATTTTAACTGTTCATATATTGGTTTTACTCCAACACATAAGATGAAACTCTCGTTCCATATATATTTTTTACAAATATTGTTTTCTGAATATATGACGTTATGTTGGTTAACAATTGGAGATATAAATATACCTTCAATGGTCCACGACACAGCGCCTCATATGTAGTCTGGTATTTGTCGGTAGGCTTTGGAGGACGTAAGTCATCACGGGGTGTTCCTGAGGGCAGTGCAGCTGTGCGGGTTTTATAAAATTTGTAATTGCTTCCTCTTTCAGTTGGATCTACACAAAGTGAAATAAAACTACAGTGATCTCCGGCAGCCGTGGTGATAACACAACAAACAATTTTAACAAAAGTGGAGACAACTGGAAGATTTTTATCATAAATAAAGCAGGACAATTTTTTTTATAAGGAGTGAGTATTTATAAAGATTAATTAGTTAAATAGTTCAACATCACTTTCAGCAAATTTGCTCTTAAAATAATGCGATACTTCAATATAATTTAGAGATACACTTGTGAAACACCAGGTTCAATGACATATTGTTCCTCGGTGTCAGTCTTCTTTTAAGAGAGAGAGAGAGAGAGAGAGAGAGAGAGAGAGAGAGAGAGAGCAACAAAACTTTAGCTTGAACTTGAATATGGATGTCCTTATTTGATTTTGTTTCCATTATGGAATATAGACTCGACACATATATAATGTAGACAAAGTTAGAATATACACAATTATACAATAAAGACACAGACAGAATATAGATGCAGATAGAATATAGACACAGATAGAATATAGACACAGTTAGAATATAGACACAGACAGAATATAGACACAGAAAGAATATAGACACAGTTAGAATATAGACACATATAGAATATAGACACAGTTAGTATATAGACACAGATAGAATATAGACACAGACAGAATATAGACACAGATAGAATATAGACACAGACAGAATATAGACACATATAGAATATAGACACATATAGAATATAGACACAGACAGAATATAGACACAGAAAGAATATAGACACAGTTAGAATATAGACACAGACAGAATATAGACACAGATAGAAAATAGACACAGACAGAATATAGACACAGTTAGAATATAGACACAGATAGAATATAGACACAGTTAGTATATAGACACAGATAGAATATAGACACAGATAGAATATAGACACAGTTAGAATATAGACACAGACAGAATATAGACACAGATAGAATATAGACACAGATAGAATATAGACACAGATAGAATATAGACACAGACAGAATATAGACACAGACAGAATATAGACACAGATATAGACACAATATAGACACAGAATATAGACACAGATAGAATATAGACACAGATAGAATATAGACACAGATATGATATAGACACAGACAGAATATAGACACAGACAGAATATAGACACAGATAGAATATAGACACCTAATATAGACACAGACAGAATATAGACACTGATAGAATATAGACAAAGACAGAATATAGACACAGACAGAATATAGACACAGTTAGTATATAGACACAGACAGAATATAGACACAGTTAGTATATAGACACAGATAGAATATAGACACAGACAGAATATAGACACAGACAGAATATAGACACAGATAGACAATAGACACAGATATGATATAGACACAGACAGAATATAGACACTGATAGAATATAGACACAGATAGAATATAGACACAGATAGAATATAGATAGATAGAATATAGACACAGATAGAATATAGACACAGATAGAATATAGACACAGTTAGAGTATAGACACAGATAGAATATAGACACTGATAGAATATAGACACAGATAGAATATAGACACAGATAGAATATAGAAACAGACAGAATATAGACACAGACAGAATATAGAAACAGACAGAATACAGACACATATATGATATAGACACAGACAGAATATAGACACAGATAGAAAATAGACACAGTTAGTATATAGACACAGACAGAATATAGAAACAGATAGAATATATAGAATATAGACACAAAGACACAGATAGAATATAGATGCAGATAGAATATTGACACAGACAGAATATAGACACAGATAGAACATAGACACAGGCAGAATATAGACACAGTTAGAATATAGACACAGATAGAATAGAATATAGACACATATAGAATATAGACACAGTTAGAATATAGACACAGATAGAATATAGACACAGAAGAATATAGACACAGATAGAATATAGACACACAGAATATAGAATATATAGATATAGACACAGAATATAGACACAGTTAGAATATAGACACAGATAGAATATAGACACAATTAGAATATAGACACATATAGAATATAGACACAGTTAGAATATAGACACAGACAGAATATAAACACAGATAGAATATAGACACAGTTAGAATATAGACACAGATAGAATATAGACACATATAGGGTATAGACACAGTTAGTATATAGATACAGTTAGAATATAGGCCTGATAGAATATAGATACTGACAGAATATAGACACAGTTAGAATATAGACACATATAGAATATAGAATATAGACACAGATAGAATATAGACACATATAGACACAGATAGAATATAGACACAGATAGAATATAGACACAGATAGAATATAGACACAGATAGAATATAGACACAGATAGAATATAGACACAGACAGAATATAGACACAGACAGAATATAGACACAGATAGAATATAGACACAGATAGAATATAGACACAGTTAGAATATAGACACATATAGAATATAGACACAGATAGACAATAGACACAGATATTCACAGACAGAATATAGACACAGTTAGAATATAGACACAGTTAGAATATAGACACAGATAGAATATAGACACAGTTAGAATATAGACACAGATATGATATAGACACAGACAGAATATAGACACAGATATGATGTAGACACAGACAGAATATAGACACAGATAGAATATAGACACAGATAGAATAAAGACACAGACAGAATATAGACACAGACAGAATATAGACACAGATAGAATATAGACACAGATAGAATATAGACACAGTTAGAATATAGACACAGACAGAATATAGACACAGATAGAATATAGACACAGATAGAATATAGACACAGATAGACAATAGACACAGACAGAATATAGACACAGACAGAATATAGACACTGATGAATATAGACACAGACAGAATATAGACACAGACAGAATATAGACACAGATAGAATATAGACACAGATAGAATATAGACACAGTTAGTACATAGACACAGTTAGAATATAGACACATAATATAGACACAGATAGAATATAGAATATAGACACAGATAGAATATAGACACAGATAGAATATAGACACAGTTAGAATATATATACACACAGACACAGTTAAAATATAGAATATAGACACACAGAATATAGACACAGATAGAATATAGACACAGATAGAATATAGACACAGATAGAATATAGACACATATAGACACATAGAATATAGACACAGATAGAATATAGAATATATACACAGACAGAATACAGATATATAAACACAGATAGAATATAGACACAGAGAGAATATAGACACAGATAGAATATAGACACAGATAGAATATAGACACAGTTAGAATATAGACACAGATAGAATATAGACACAGATAGAATATAGACACAGATAGAATATAGACACAGACAGAATATAGAATGTAGACACATAGAATATAGACACAGTTAGAATATAGACACATATAGAATATAGACACAGACAGAATATAGACACAGAGAGAATATAGAAACAGACAGAATATAGACACAGATATGATATAGACACAGACAGAATATAGACACAGATAGAATATAGACACAGACAGAATATAGACAAATATAGTATATAGACACAGACAGAATATAGACACAGATAGAATATAGACACAGACAGAATATAGACACAGATAGAATATACACACAGACAGAATATAGACACAGATAGAATATAGACACAGTACACAGATAGAATATAGAATATAGACACAGAATATAGAATATAGATACAGACATAATATAGACAAAGATAGAATATAGACACAGATAGAATAAAGACACAGACAGAATATAGACACAGATAGAATATAGACACCGAATATAGACACAGACAGAATATAGACACTGATAAAATATAGACACAGACAGAATATAGACACTGATAGAATATAGTTCCTCTGTCAATGACATATTTTGTATGTTTGACCTTATTTACGTCCGTGATGCTGACATAGACCTTTCTTAAGGGTTTAACATTAGATCATAATTACATGGAATACTAGGTATGATATTTGCAGAAAATGAATGTTTATGTCTACGTCTATATTTAAAGACGAAATGCAAGTCATATGCTCTTTTCGTTCAATCTCGTACAGTGATAAAGAAAACAACATCGCTAGGTTTAGAAATCAGATGTCTTATCTCAGAACTAAATGTAAATGAATACGACCTAGATCTTAGAATCATAACAAACCATACCTAATTTTTCTAGAACTTCAACTGCTTTCCATGGCATTCCAGCCTGAAAACGAAAAAAACACACAAACAAGCAAGCAAAAAAACAAATTAACAAAACCAAACAAATAAATAAAAAGGGACAAAACCGTTAATGTAATTCGGTTAAAAGATGGGATCATTTTTAAAAAATACAATTTTATACTTGAAAATTTAGATGCTTGGCACTACTGACGAATCCTGTGTGGACGAAACAGCTTTATGATGTAGCATCACTGACAAATCCTGTAAAGGCGAAACAGCTGCATGATGCAGTTAAATTAATTATCTAGCTCTGCTGTGGCTAATTCTTAACCCGTATTAAAAGGTCGCCTCCACGTGTCTTTAGTAAATATTCTCATCAAACTGGAATTTGATTTTTGTTGCTTAGTAATATTAACTTTACATGGCATGTATCCCATCAAACATCTGCAGTACCTCTTAAAATATTAGTAAATCATTCCTTTTGTGTAACTGATATTCTTGCGGGATTAATACTTTTTATGTCACTAGTAACACTGATAACACTTTTCTCGTCCCTGATCGAACAGTTTCATTAATGATTGCTGAAAAAGACCATTTCTCTCCGATTAATGGTCAACAATTTATTTCAACACAGTAAAATCAGTCTAAACATACCTATTTTATTTACAATAAAACTAAATAAATAAGAAATGCAATATTACATCATCAACAGTGTACCAACCTGGTAATATGCAGATGCCAGTGTTTTGCGTAAGATTTTCTCCTCAAACTTTGTCTCTAGAGTTAACTCCCCTTTACCATTAGCCTCCAATAATGACGTCATCCAGGTTATAGCGTCAAAATACATGCCCATAGTTATTGATTCTTTAGCAACTACTAACATTTCCCGCCAAGACAGAGGGTCTGTTTTCTCATTAAGTATTGTGCCGTTGAAAAGTTGTGGCAGATCTAGTTGGTAGACTCGCCAGATTCGGAGTAGTCCTCGAACTGCCCCAAGGATGTCACGTTTTGTTGGCCAACTGTTAACAACGTTCCCAGCAATCTTCTTCGATATCCGTAAATCTTGAACATAATACAACAGTTTAATTTCTCCCCGGTTTCAATGTATGAAAAGAAACATGGCTGACACACTGTAGTCATTTCATTGGATCTTTAGTTATGATTACTATTTAATTACGACAATATTCACTTGACAATATTCAATATTGAAAAATTATCATTGATTGATGTGAATTAACAAAGGCATCGAAAGCATCATGGATTTGCAGTAGAGGTACAGCCGAACCTCGTTATCCCGAACTCTTACAACTCGAAAACTCGTTAAATTTGAAGTTTTTCGTCGGTTCCTGCCGAACTTTTTCATGAACGTTCTGAAATCCTTAAGTCAGAATGTTTTAGAATATATGATACATTAAACCTACAGTCAAACATCGCGATTTGAAAGTCGATATGACTTCGAGTTATCCGAGTATTTTATTTGAATAAAATCGAATGTTTGAAGATTAGTTTGGCAGGGACAGGTGAAATAACTCGAATTAAATTGGGCCTTCGAGTCATACGAGTTCGGGATAACGAGATTCGACTATACCTGGTATGAGACGTGGAAATTCAATAATAGCTACTCGGACATGTATCTTAGGCGACAAAATTTGAGCGCTGTAATGCCAACATTTATAAATACATCGGTGCCCTTAAAACTACGGGTCCGTATATATACTGTGTTTGGTAAGTACATCAACGACGGCTAGAGGCTTACATCGGTTCTAAGACATGCAACTAGACAACACTCTTTACAAAAATATTGCAAAGACGCTTAACTATTTATAAACGATCCGGATCTTTCGAGTGCTTAACATTTAGGTAATACCAAATGCCTTTGTCTCTTGACTGATAACGTCAGCGATCAACAAATGATATATACTTACATTAAGTACAGATTTAGTCAGAGTTTATTGTGAAGGATTTCATTTATGTTTAAAGAGAAGAAATAGTTAGATTTCTTTTTTCCCCCATTTTTTTAATTTCGGTTATTTTTTGTAATACTTAAAATTAGACTAATCACAAAATTTGAACACTTTTTGCGATAATGATTATCAGCTTCAAACTAATACTGGTCAACACTGTCCTTGATCGGAGGTAGCCGTGTTTATTACGTGACCTTTCGGAACCTCGTTTTAACTCGCTGCTTTGTTGTGATTTCTAAATTTGCACGTGCAAAGACATTGTTAACACTCTGCGAACCACAGTAATTATACATTTTTTTAAAATTTAATAATTAACAGATTAGTGCAGAACTTTTTAACAGATGTTTAAATGGCATTATGTTTTTTGCATCAATTTTGAAATGGAGATCTAACCAATTAGTGAAGCGAAAAAACATGCCTAACTAGACATGCGTACGTCCGGAAAAACATGCCTAACTAGACATGCGTACGTCCGGAAAAACATGCCTAACTAGACATGCGTACGTCCGGAAAAACATGCCTAACTAGACATGCGTACGTCCGGAAAAACATGCCTAACTAGACATGCGTACGTCCGGAAAAACATGCCTAACTAGACATGCGTACGTCCGGAAAAACATGCCTAACTAGACATGTGTACGTCCGGAAAAACATGCCTAACTAGACATGTGTACGTCCGGAAAAACATGCCTAACTAGACATGTGTACGTCCGGAAAAACATGCCTAACTAGACATGTGTACGTCCGGAAAAACATGCCTAACTAGACATGCGTACGCCCGGAAAAACATGCCTAACTAGACATGTGTACGTCCGGAAAAACATGCCTAACTAGACATGCGTACGTCCGGAAAAACATGCCTAACTAGACATGCGTACGTCCGGAAAAACATGCCTAACTAGACATGCGTACGTCCGGAAAAACATGCCTAACTAGACATGCGTACGCCCGGAAAAACATGCCTAACTAGACATGCGTACGCCCGGAAAATCATGCCTAACTAGACATGCGTACGCCCGGAAAAACATGCCTAACTAGACATGCGTACGCCCGGAAAATCATGCCTAACTAGACATGCGTACGCCCGGAAAATCATGCCTAACTAGACATGCGTACGCCCGGAAAATCATGCCTAACTAGACATGCGTACGCCCGGAAAAACATGCCTAACTAGACATGCGTACGCCCGGAAAAACATGCCTAACTAGACATGCGTACGCCCGGAAAAACATGCCTAACTAGACATGCGTACGCCCGGAAAAACATGCCTAACTAGACATGCGTACGCCCGGAAAAACATGCCTAACTAGACATGCGTACGCCCGGAAAAACATGCCTAACTAGACATGCGTACGCCCGGAAAAACATGCCTAACTAGACATGCGTACGCCCGGAAAAACATGCCTAACTAGACATGTGTACGCCCGGAAAAACATGCCTAACTAGACATGCGTACGCCCGGAAAAACATGCCTAACTAGACATGCGTACGCCCGGAAAAACATGCCTAACTAGACATGCGTACGCCCGGAAAAACATGCCTAACTAGACATGTGTACGCCCGGAAAAACATGCCTAACTAGACATGCGTACGCCCGGAAAAACATGCCTAACTAGACATGCGTACGCCCGGAAAAACATGCCTAACTAGACATGCGTACGCCCGGAAAAACATGCCTAACTAGACATGCGTACGCCCGGAAAAACATGCCTAACTAGACATGCGTACGCCCGGAAAAACATGCCTAACTAGACATGCGTACGCCCGGAAAAACATGCCTAACTAGACATGCGTACGCCCGGAAAAACATGCCTAACTAGACATGCGTACGCCCGGAAAAACATGCCTAACTAGACATGCGTACGCCCGGAAAAACATGCCTAACTAGACATGCGTACGCCCGGAAAAACATGCCTAACTAGACATGCGTACGCCCGGAAAAACATGCCTAACTAGACATGCGTACGCCCGGAAAAACATGCCTAACTAGACATGCGTACGCCCGGAAAAACATGCCTAACTAGACATGCGTACGCCCGGAAAAACATGCCTAACTAGACATGCGTACGCCCGGAAAAACATGCCTAACTAGACATGCGTACGCCCGGAAAAACATGCCTAACTAGACATGCGTACGCCCGGAAAAACATGCCTAACTAGACATGCGTACGCCCGGAAAAACATGCCTAACTAGACATGCGTACGCCCGGAAAAACATGCCTAACTAGACATGCGTACGCCCGGAAAAACATGCCTAACTAGACATGCGTACGCCCGGAAAAACATGCCTAACTAGACATGCGTACGCCCGGAAAAACATGCCTAACTAGACATGCGTACGCCCGGAAAAACATGCCTAACTAGACATGCGTACGCCCGGAAAAACATGCCTAACTAGACATGCGTACGCCCGGAAAAACATGCCTAACTAGACATGCGTACGCCCGGAAAAACATGCCTAACTAGACATGCGTACGCCCGGAAAATCACGAACGAAGCAGCGTCTATGTCAACAAATGAGAGTATCTAGGAATAAAATCGAACATAACTTAATGTAAGAGCTATTACCAGTTACAGCATAAGTTTCCAGACAGTCGTCGCAGAATACTTCATCAAACACATGCTCCCAGTCGTCAGTCACCCTGAGTAACAGTCGGAGAACATTGACTGGGTGACCAACCCATCGTCCAGCATCAGTAACCGTTGAACGTTGTTTGTGAACATATTCAATAAACCTAAATGTTATCAAGAAAAACAAGGATGTATTGATTGCGTTAAGCACGTTTATTAGAGACGGCGACAGGGAGGAACTAATAACACATAGAGTTCTCTTCTTAAAATGTTTATAATGGATTGGGAAAAAATTGAATATTTCCACAGGAGTGTCTTTTCATATCATATTTTTGTTTATTTAAATCCAGGCGGTTACATTTTAGAGGGGAGATGTATATGGTCAACACTTATAATTGTGATGACAAATCAGAATTTTCTGAAGAAGTCACACCCCTTTAAGGTTTTATTGTAGGACCTACTCTAATGACAATAGGGACAAAGTGTCGATCGAGTTATCCGATAGCAGACAGAAAAGAAAGAACAATACAGAGAGTACTTTTTATACCGAACTATCATTTATTTCATTTTTTAAAATTCAATTTTATACCAAAACTAGAGATATTACTTATTTACTAAACTTAACCATATTGCAAAATTTAATTCGATATTTTCTGATATTGCTCAATATTATAGGATGTTTTGTGTTATTGTTCAATAATATAGGATATTTTGTGGTATTGTTCAATGTTATAGGATGTTTTGTGTTATTGTTCAATATTATAGGATATTTTGTGGTATTGTTCAATGTTATAGGATGTTTTGTGTTATTGTTCAATATTATAGGATGTTTTGTGTTATTGTCAATATTATAGGATATTATTATAGGATGTTTTGTGTTATTGTTCAATATTATAGTTCAATGATATTTTGTGTTATTGTTCAATGTTATAGGATATTTGTGTGGTATTGTTCAATGTTATATGTTTTGTGGATGTTTTGTGTTATTGTTCAATAATATAGGATATTTTGTGGTATTGTTCAATGTTATAGGATGTTTTGTGTTATTGTTCAATATTATAGGATGTTTTGTGTTATTGTTCAATATTTAGGATATTTTGGATGTTCAATTTTGTGTGTTATTGTTCAATATTATAGGATGTTTTGTGTTATTGTTCAATATTATAGGATGTTTTGTGTTATTGTTCAATATTATAGGATATTTTGTGTTATTGTTCAATATTATAGGATGTTTTGTGTTATTGTTCAATATTATAGGATATTTTGTGTTATTGTTCAATATTATAGGATGTTTTGTGTTATTGTTCAATGTTATAGGATATTTTGTGTTATTGTTCAATATTATAGGATGTTTTGTGTTATTGTTCAATATTATAGGATGTTTTGTGTTATTGTTCAATTTATAGGATGTTTTGTGTTATTGTTCAATAATATAGGACATTTTGTGTTATTGTTCAATATTATAGGATGTTTTGTGTTATTACCCTTAATATTGTACAATAATTTGTCATACTGATCAGAGTTTTACAGACATGGTGACACTGTGCAGCGTTACATAAATACATAGTAATATTTGTTTACTTTTATACCTGTAGATTTGAGTATATAAGTGATACTATCCTACATCAGGCCCACTGCGTACAGCAAACAACGTGTCATTGTGTTCATACATAATCGATCGGGAACATTCTATAAATTATTAAGAACAGATGCGGTCTGCCGGATATCAGCATGCTGTATTGAGAGAGTATCTGGTGTTAAAGGGATCCACCGTGTCTTTATACTGAATGAAAGGCTGACATTGTCTGAAATTTGTGTTGCTATCATACAAAACAAAAATAGACTGTAACGATTTAGAATTGTATGGCAGTATTACTAAGCAAATCAGCTTTACCGTTATGCAGAACGGTTTGAAAACTTTTTTATCCCGTACTCAATAGATAGATATTAAATATAACAAGCAAAAATTTAAGTACGAGTGTATATATATATAATGCTCACTTTGTGATGTTGTCACCCACGTGTGTTCCATTCTTCTCACTAATTTCTGCGTACCTCTTCAGAGCGCGTGCGAGGCGCCCCTCTTCTTCATATAACGTCTCGACTCGCTGTATAGACGAGAACACTTCACCTTGGATCATTCTGATACATGTCCAAAATATTGCTAACAAACAAAACTTCATTTCCATTGTCTGTGTACTACACGGTTTCAGCTGAAATTCTAGTCTCGTTTGACATGAATTTCTCATGCAGTGTCCTTGCCTATGTTGTCTATTTCTGTGTCATGAATGAAATATGAAATAATGAAGGATACTGTGTATTTTACACATCCGATCAATTCCTGTACACGTGTTCATCAGAACAGTAATGACGACACGTAGGCAATCAATGATAAATGTGTGACAACTACAGCCTGTTGTGCACAGATAGAGAGAGATTTGTGATAAAAACAATCTGTTGTGTACGGGTAGAGAAAGATTTGTGATAATTGCAGTCTGTTGTTTACGGGTAGAGAGAGATTTGTGACAATAACAGCCTGTTGTACACGGGTAGAGAAAGATTTGTGACAATAACAGTCTGTTGTACACGGGTAGAGAAAGATTTGTGACAATAACAGTCTGTTGTACACGGGTAGAGAAAGATTTGTGACAATAACAGTCTGTTGTACACGGGTAGAGAAAGATTTGTGACATTTACAGTCTGTTGTGTACGGGTAGAGACAGATCTGTGCACAGACAGAGAAAGATTTGTGAAAATAACACTCTGTTGTGTACGGGTAGAGAGAGATTTGTGATAAAAACAATCTGTTGTACACGGGTAGAGACAGATCTGTGACAATTACAATTTGTTGTACACGGGTAGAGAAAGATTTGTGACAATAACAGTCTGTTGTACACGGGTAGAGAAAGATTTGTGACAATAACAGTCTGTTGTACACGGGTAGAGAAAGATTTGTGACAATAACAGTCTGTTGCGTACGGGTAGAGAAAGATTTGTGACAATAACAGTCTGTTGCGTACGTGTAGAATAAGATTTGTGACAATAACAGTCTGTTGTGTACGGGTAGAGAGAGATTTGTGACAATAACAGTCTGTTGCGTACGGGTAGAGAAAGATTTGTGACAATAACAGTCTGTTGCGTACGGGCAGAGAAAGATTTGTGACAATAACAGTTTGTTGTACACGGGTAGAGAAAGACATTTATATATGACATTCGTGTTTGATAGGGAAGATGGCTGTCGGGATTATAGGTTCAATTATAATTCAGCTTGGTGTAGTTTACAGGAATATATAGGGATTATAGGTGTTAAATAACGACAAACGATTTACACTTGATAAAATTCAAGCTGTACATATTTTCGAGATACCATTGAGCAATCTGGCCCCGGAGTTAACCAGTGGTTACTGAAACATTCTTACTTTTGCCTTTGAACAGACAAAATTGTCCAATGTAAAATTAACACTCGAAATATATCAGCCTTCTCTGTCTTAACAAACCTACTGGTGTGAAATAAACAGGAATGTTTAATCTAGTTTTATACATTTTTTGAAAATGTTCACTTACTACTGTAAGACTAGCCAGTCTTTGAACAACTGAAGCCAGATCACGAAGCCTGTTGCTTCTTTCTTCACCACAGTGATGTAATAGATATAGATAGATATGGCAATGTGAACGTTGCATGAAATCGTTAATAATTAAAATTTCAGTGAGAAAAATAACATACATTCATACTGAGTTTCATTTTTTTGTGGTTTATAGAAAGTCATGTCTAGAAATATTTTTTTTGCTTGTTAGTATATTTATTATCAATGGATAAAATGTGTTTAAGATGCTTAAAAATAATTTTTGAAATCAATTTTGTAGCACTTAAATAATTTTGCGATACTTAAATACACTTTCTTAATTGATAAACATTTTTCTAAACCATTTAAAGAATATTAGAAATCATTATAAAAAGACAAGACAGAAAGAATAAATCGACTACAAATCCATCATGTATCTTAACTTTTTCTCGACTTGAGATTTTAAGATCAGTGATTCCCGAAGAATTATCACGTGACTTTAATAGAAACTTGTTAAGTAACTTCTTCTAATATATTTTATCTGGAGGCACAACATGATCACTATAACGAACATAAACAAGTGTTTATGTGGGAAACGCTGTTTCACATTAAGATCAGCACAGATTTTGTAAAAATGGAACATATCCGACAGGGTACTAGTTCACTGTACGTTGGTTGGATGTGCAGATAACTGGTTAAGGCAATATTTCTGAATGGTTGTATACTTTTGTGTACGAAATGATGTCCAAGTCTTGGCCGCACGGATATAACAGACATATATATAGTGACATATAATGACATATTATCATTCTTTTGTACATTAATGACAACGGTTCAATGCTAAACATTTCTTACCGTCATAATTTCATTTCAAAGTATATATACACATGTAACTTGTTTTGTCCTTTGTGTGAAATCTATTAGGAGGAAAAGAGAGAAAGCATATCTAAAGATTACTTTGTGGTATCATCATTGTCTTTGTCTATTGGACATTTTGTAAATCCATATCAAAGACAATATCTTAAAATATATCAAAATCTTCACATCTGAAATATGCTGTAGTACGTGATATCCCTATTATCTAAAAACTGCATCCTGCAGGATATCAAACCTTACTATCTAGAAATAACATCTGGTAATACGATAAAATGTCCGTGTCGAAAATCCTCCTTAAAACATGGCGTAATCTACAATTTTGTTTACAAAGAATGTCAATGACACAGATACAGTGTGGTATGTCTGCACGTCGGTCGTTAAGTTGAGTCATTCTTTCGTACAAGACAGTTAAGTTGGTGGAACATCAGACTTTATTACTTTAGGTGAAGGTCTTATTGTGATTTTTCACGATTTCTATTCAGTGTCAGATGTTGCTTTTTTCAAAATGCGACATGCGGCGGACTTCCATATGATGTTCAGTGAGGTCATTCGACAAATAGAAAAGCCATGATAACAAGTAGTAATTTAGGAAGTAAAGGCGACAACAAAAGCGATTAAAACGCTTGTTCTTTCATGAAAAACGTTTCGTTTCACCCTTTCGCCCAAAAGTTCTTGTCCGCTTTGTTGAAGGACAACAAAATTACAAGTATAAAAAGATATTGCAAATCCACCTTTGGCAATGACAAAAACATTGCCCTAGACGGACGAAAGAACGGAAATGGCACAAATAAGTCACAACATTTGACTTTAAGGTATCTCTATGACGGTATGAAACACGAAGAGAGTATTGTATAATTTGACTTTAAGGTATCTCTATGACGGTATGAAACACGAAGAGAGTATTGTATAATTTGACTTTAAGGTATCTCTATGACGGTATGAAACACGAAGAGAGTATTGTATAATTTGACTTTAAGGTATCTCTATGACGGTATGAAACACGAAGAGAGTATTGTATAATTTGACTTTAAGGTATCTCTATGTTTGGTATGAAACACGAAGAGAGTATTGTATAATTTGACTTTAAGGTATCTCTATGTTAGGTATGAAACACGAAGAGAGTATTGTATAATTTGACTTTAAGGTATCTCTATGTTTGGTATGAAACACTAAGAGAGTATGAAACACGAACAGAGTATTGTATAATTTGACTTTAAGGTATCTCTATGACGGTATGAAACACAAAGAGAGTATTGTATAATTTGACTTTAAGGTATCTCTATGACGGTATGAAACACGAAGAGAGTATTGTATAATTTGACTTTAAGGTATCTCTATGACGGTATGAAACACGAAGAGAGTATTGTATAATTTGAATGACGGTATGAAACACGAAGAGAGTATTGTATAATTTGACTTTAAGGTATCTTTATGTTTGGTATGAAACACGAAGAGAGTATTGTATAATTTGACTTTAAGGTATCTCTATGACGGTATGAAACACGAAGAGAGTATTGTATAATTTGACTTTAAGGTATCTCTATGACGGTATGAAACACGAAGAGAGTATTGTATAATTTGACTTTAAGGTATCTCTATGACGGTATGAAACACGAAGAGAGTATTGTATAATTTGACTTTAAGGTATCTCTATGACGGTATGAAACACGAAGAGAGTATTGTATAATTTGACTTTAAGGTATCTCTATGACGGTATGAAACACGAAGAGAGTATTGTATAATTTGACTTTAAGGTATCTCTATGACGGTATGAAACACGAAGAGAGTATTGTATAATTTGACTTTAAGGTATCTCGAAGAGAGTATTGTATAATTTATGTACGGTATGAAACACGAAGAGAGTATTGTATAATTTGACTTTAAGGTATCTCTATGACGGTATGAAACACGAAGAGAGTATTGTATAATTTGACTTTAAGGTATCTCTATGACGAAGAGAGTATTGTATAATTTGGTATGAAACACGAAGAGAAGAGAGTATTGTATAATTTGACTTTAAGGTATATATATACAAGGTATGAAACACGAAGAGAGTATTGTATAAACGGTATGATAAGAGAGTATTGTATAATTTGACTTTAACACAAACCGGCCAATTTGTTTATAACTATCAATAGCTCCTTCAAATGTTCATTCCATCTTTCCTTGTTCACCTCTTTACGCTGTTGTTCTTCTGCTTTGTCATATATATTTTGATAAAAAGTCAACCTTGGTAACAGATTACAAGTCAGTTTTCAATTAATTAGTTGAAGATATTAATTAACAAAACTGAGCCTCAAACATAAATGTCAGATTAATATTTTCAGATATTTACGAAATGGACATTTTCGTATCGAATATACCGAAAGGACTCGAATGCAGGACAACTAGTTCACTTATAAAGAGACAACTAGGTACAGGTAAGTCATCGGTATAGCATTCAATGTTACCAGGTGAATGAGAACACTAGTGGTTTACAGGAAGGACATTTATTCACCACAAAGTAAATTTTCACGTGAGTATTTTCTGTTGTGACCTTTTGAATACTTCTGTAAAATAAATAATATAAAGTTGTGAGTTCAAATGATGAAATGGCATGCTTTTTCTTCACTCCCGACACTTTTCACACCTTGCCCATTGTGTAAAATCGTGAATTCTGCACGTGTCCTTGATACATTTGTCCGTCCCAAAAACATTCATTCAGTGAAATTAATGCGAATAATGCTTATGAAACACAATGCCACGATTAA